ACCAGGAGTCAATGAGGGGAGGAGAGGATTTTACACACCTGTCTCTTCATAAAGGCAGCGACGGGGATGAGAGGACAGCTTGTTAGAGAGATTTATGCTTAATAATGGACAGACGCTAGCAGGGGACGGAGACAATTAACTGTATGGGGGAAAACACCATAAATAAAGGGTGGAAGAGTGAGAGACAGGGGAGGGAAATGGGGTAGAGTTGATAGCACAGAGGGTGAGGAGCAATAACAGGAGCACAAATGATTAAGTGGTGTTACGGACTAAGAACACTTGTTTGCAAGGACAATCTTTGTGTGCTTTTGTTGTCTGCCGGCCGCCTTTATCTTTGTGTAATTCTCCTTCTGATGAAATGTGTTTAAAGAGATGAATTGGGATCGGAGGAGCCGTCCTGACATGATTATGAGGGATTCATCTGCAGCCATCTGCCACCGTTATGGGAGGAATGGGGGGGGGGTTGAGGGGGGGGGTGAGGGAGGGCCAGTAGAGAGAGAGAGAGAGAGAAAGGGTGGGAGATGAAGGGAGGGAGGGAGGGAGGGAAGTGCAGACCTTCTGTTCAGCAGCCCTGCCACACAAACGCAGCGTTACACAGGCCTCTGGCCCACAGTTTAACATGAAGACTCGCTTCGCCCGTATGAAGCTTTTGCTTCGGGTCCAATTAAAGAAGCAGAACCGGGGTCATGAAAATTGAAAAAGCCCGTTACACAGTGTGTGACAAAAAAAAAAAAAGATTGCGTTGACTCTAGAGGCAGAGACAGGAGAGCTGTTCACCTGCAAAGCACGTACAGGCAGCATAACATGCAACTTAGTCATCTTTTTTTCAGAGGATTTTCCAGGTACTGGTATTCTAGTCCCTCTTGGAAATGGGCAGCTACAGACTACATCATGTTCACACACCAGTTGGAGGAGAGGGCACAGCAGATGGGTCCATTGCTCATCACAACGTCCACTTGTTCTAAAGGGGAAAGCGGGGGCCTCAGACAGCATGTCTTAAGTTGTGTAATAGGCTTTTAATGTCACAAATGAAAGTCACACGTTCGTTTTTTTTCTCAGGTTGTTTGTTTTTCTGAGAGATTTGTTCACACAGCTCAACATCACCGTGGATAAAAATGGAGTAAGTATACGGTGTACCACATAAACCGACAGGATCTTGCATTGGAGAACAGGATGTAGGCAGAAACATGTAAATGCATCACTTCTGTTGGTATTGATGGGTATTATTTCACTCTCTAATCCGTCAGCTGTTGCCATGGCATCTGGCGTGCAGGTTTCTTTTCCCAGTCACAAAATCATAGTCTGCGTTATTCGCCTCTACGGTTGAATTTTGCACCGACACCTGTCTTGTTTTTTTGATCAGTTTTTCCCTCAACGTTTGAATAATCCCCCTCCGGTTCCCCAGCGTTTTTAAACAAAGCACCTATTTCATTCTCAGCCACTCTGCGACTGAGCCATCACTTCATATTACAGGTCAGCGTTACGGTGCTTAATTATGTGCCGGCTGCTTGGGGCTCCTAATAACCTGTCATTGAGGGGAATTTGAATGTCACACCATATTGTTGGGCCCTAATGGCAGCGGGCAGATCCACTGATGAGCCGTTTTGGGACAATTACAGCGGATATTCAAATCACAGGTCTAGGTGTGTTGTGAACTGCACTGCACACAATCTGACAGCGATCTGACGTGCACACACGCACACACACACTTGTTGTATCTTAACCCTGCAGCCAAACTCTCTTGACACATCAAGTCGATGCCCCCCCCCTCCTACATCCGCCTGTGCTGCTGGAACAGTTTAACTGTAGCCTGATCGCTTTTATTATCCGCCTAATCCAGATATCAGCGATTTCATCAAGCCGGGAAGATATGCATATCATGAATTATTTTGACACCGGGACCTTTTAATTTTCGCCGGCAATATTTCATCCCACCAATCAGCGCCTGGAGTGGTTGTCGGACGTGGCGGTGTCAGAGGACGGGGCTCCCGCCGGCGGATCCAAATAATCCGGGGGACAATAATGAGCTATGGCCACAATTATGAGCTGCCAGTGTGTGCATGCATCTCATCAAGGCCTCCATGCAAGCTGCTGCAGGGGGAGGCGCGCACACACAGACGTATACACAGACCTATACACCAACGCTTTGACCTCTGTAATAATGCAGATTCTATAATGCAAATCACCTTGCTTGAGAGATAAATACTGGATTATTTTTAGTATACCAGTATATAACTACAGCTCAATACTTTTCACAGGCAGATATTACTGAGAGGTACTGCAGACGCAGTCAGTAGGCTATATATTTAGTACACAAAAAATATAATGTACTTGCATGATTCATTGCTATAAAATTGCAGTCAATTATTTGCTACAATGTCGCCAGTAGAACCACAAGGAAATTTACACTATCTCTACATTATCTAAAATATGTATATATAAATATTATAACAAATAATTGCCAACTCACGGAGGTTATTTGGGGTACCATTTTACTATACTCTGGGCTAAGTATATAATTACATATTTACTATACTATATATACCAGTGTGTGCTTTTGTACAGGAATTAGAGACTGTAACCAGCCTCGTTAATAGATGAGTTGCTCTGATCAGTTGGACCATCACTGACCACCGATTTATTAATGCAGACATGATGATTGATACTTACTGGCCAGTTAATACAATTTAAACCAAAAACCATTTATTACTGCCGTAAAAGTGATCAAAAAAAGTACGTAACAATTAACACATAACACAATGACAAAGACATTAGTTACACCTCCTCTATAAGAAGGGCCTTAAAAGCGTTACCAATACATCTATCACCATGGAGACAAACAGAAATGCTTTGGGGTAAAAAATACTTTCAGACGCAGAAACTACATTACTTAACATGTCTGTTCCCGTATACACTGACCAGACTACATATGAAGTCATAAAGATGCATTACATCCCACAGCACAGGGCTGTGTAACTCAATCCACTGTGTTTTTACTCCCTGTAGAGCGTGTATTAGGTGAGCAAATTGGATGCTCAAACAGTCAGTCCGCGACCTTCCCTCATCCCGGATGTTGACCCCGGCATAAAGAGAGACATTACATCTCGTTACACAACAACACGGCTCCAGCGCTTTGCTGCAGATAAAGAAAAATGTCTCAATTAAATCTTCCCTGGGGCCCCCCACCGGCCCCCCCGCCGAAGAGTTATCGCTGCCCGGGTAGCGCTGATCGCTACACTCACACATCCTCAAAAGTTATTTGACATAAATTGCCGGAGTCACATCATTTCCTGCCACGCTCTGAGCGAGATTTACTGCTGATCCCATTGACTGGGAGCTGAACCTCCAATAAAACTCCTCAAGAGCCCGTAGGGCCATGAGACGCACCTATCCACCCCCCCATCAGCACCTCCCCACCACCACCACCCCCTCCCCTGAGCGCAGATTAACCATGCAAATACGCACAGGTGGGAGGATGATAGCGACAACACATTTATGCACAATATATGCAGCTGGGATGATATGACCATGAGCGGGATGAGGACAGCGCACGGGGCAGGCTGATTGTGTTTTATCTGATGGGGGAGGCTGAGGGGGGGGTCGCAGGGGAGAATGCCAAGGTGGGTTCTCCAGAGAACTCAAGGAGCGAGAAAAAGGAAAAAATTATCCGTGGCCTTAATTTAAGAGGAGTTCTCTGGAGGATATCCCCTTCAAAACTTCTGAGAGAGTTCTATTATAGGGCTCATGAACCCTGCAGGAAAATTCTTTCAAACTGAGAATTGCTTCCTACGTTATAGTGCTCGGACATGGGGGGGGGGGGGGGGCGGCGCAAACCCTGTTAACTGCAAGCAACCTTCGTGGGAGCATCAGTCCACTGAGGGGGGAGCGAGCGAGGCATGTTAATGTTTGGAGTGCGTTAAGGGTCAAACCCACCAGATGGAAAAGCGGTTTCAGCGGGGATTCCCGGCTGCACTAAAAGACTTAGGTCGTCTAATTACCAAACAAGTGTCTTTTTATGAGATGTTTTCAGTTTTAACGATAGACGCCACACTTTTGTTTTTTCCCATCAGGCTTACTGTCTCTCTCTAGTGGTGGGAAGGGAGAAGTCTCAGTTCGGAGGCCTCACAGGCCTTTTCCACTGAAAAACACACACCGGAAGAGAGACTTATTTGCAAGAGATTCTGAAACGAAGTTATATGTCAAATTAGCCACAGCTCTGTCTTCGACTACCACGGCATTAAAGGTGAGATGTGAAACTCAAATTTTAAACTAATGCTGAGATATTATTTAAGCCATGATTGGAAAAGCTCCAGTATTTCTGTCAAGTAAATGTGAGATAACCCCACTAGTGCTTCCAGCACTGAAGGATTGTTTACAAAAGTTAGCTTTTAAGTAGCTTAATTATTGACACATCTTAAATCCGTATGTAACTCTACGGCTTTGCTTATTCTGCAACTTAAATTAGATACCTGTTGATACCATGATGACTTTTACGGTTTATTTGTACATCATTTTGTCATAGAATGGTCCTCTGATCTCTGTCTTTAACTTAAAATGCATTGACGATGTGGAGACAAACTGTCAGTCAACAAGTTCTATAGTCCCCTTCCATTCAGATAATACAGCAGGGCAGTGACGGCCTCCCCTCCAGCTTGGCACGGTGTTTCATTGGAGCATCAGCATCAGCATCATCAGCATCAGTGGCTCCGGGGCCTCCAGCTGGGGCTGGCTGCTGCCTACAAGCACCGGGCGAGCGGAGGTGGTGGGCAGGCCAGAGGATTGCCCCGGGGCACCTCACTTATGCCCCAGTAAAGCCCCTCCTTCCCTCCCTCGCTCGCTCTCACTTCACACAGCAATTTGATTTGACAAAGTAAACTCTGGATGGCCGGTGTGACCACTGCACATGAAGAGTATTATGAGAGGAAACCACCTGGAGATGATTGGTGAAGATCTCCTCAGTAAAATCAGACTGAACAAAAATAAAAAAAAAAAGCACCAGACACATTCGGATTTTAAGTTTATGATCGTTTGCATCAACAGTCTATGGCAGTCTACACGTTCAGGCGCTGCATCGCATTATATTACACTTGATGACAGACCAAGGAAGTCTGTACATATGGTTACAAGGTTTGTTTGTTTTTCTTTTCATCCTTTATAGATGTGGTTAATGTAGCAGTTGAGGGAAATTTACACTTTGATCAACACATAAGAACAGTTCTAAGAAACAAGTATTTTTTTGCAGTATGAGACCAACAATTAAAAATTAAATTACAAGATGTAACTTTGAGATTCCGTCTGTGCAAATAGATGGATAAATAGAGAAGAAGTTTTAATACTGATGATAATCCTAATTTGGAACTAAAACCTTTTATTCCAAAACATTTTGAAGGTTGTTGCTGTTCTCTACATCTACAACTACATGTAATGCAAAAAAACACTACTGCTGTGGCAGAGAATAACCACCGTCAATTCGGATTATTCAGGTCAATCTGTGCATTCCACCATCCGCTTGATCTCAACCAACTGCGACATCTCCGCACCATCAGAACAATAACAGTCGCTTGGTCAGCATTGTACATAATAATCATTAATGACACCCACACAAGTCAGAGGGGATGATAATTACACCTGGAGTGAGTCATGGGGCTAAACGAAAGGAATAAAGTCACTAAGAGTGTCAGCATTAGCCGTGTAATCCTATTTTGCGACATCAAATGCAAATCAGTGTTACAAAAAGAGAACAAAAGAAATCCTTCACATGGAAGGTTTGAGATTTTAGGGAACCAGGCACAATTTACAAAATGTACACAACTCCGGTTCCAGTATACCACTACTGCTCCTATTAGTGAGTCCTCTGTACGGGTGTGTGAGCGTGCACCAGTGTGATCTTTGCTGTAAAGACACTGCCGGCTAAACTACGACGCTGTGGAAATGTCAGTGGGAGTCCAGGCGACGCAGGAAAGCGCTTGACGAGCAGCCGGCTAACAGGTTTGTCTTCTAGATGCTGAGCGAGGGACTTACTGATACTACAGGAGACTATAACGCCCCTCGTGAGGCTGAAAAGGGGAGGTGGCCTCAAGTCTGTGTCATCCAGCTCGCCGCCGCTGCTGCTGCTGCGTCCTGCGTGAAAGCGTCAGTGCGGAGAGTCCAGCTCGACGCGGCGTTTTAATTAGTTAAGGACTTCCCTTCCCTTCAGCGTGCAACAAACCAATTAGCGTGAGCTGTGGCTGAGTGGGCGGCGGCCTCTTGCTGCCGTCCAGCTCGCCGTCACTGCCGACGAGACGTCCCTCGTGAAGCTAAGAGGGGAAGAGGCTGGCGGCTGCTGCTAAGGGCCACCGCGGATGCAGAAATGCGTTTTTCTCAAATGAGTTATTTGAATGACTGATGGAAAGAACAAAAAACATAGCTAATATGTTTGAAAGTAAAATGTCAAAAAAGGCACACACAAATGTCACAGATCTAGGCAATCGGGCAAGATTGGCACAAATACTCTGCATGCTAATAAAACTGAAGGGCCATGGAAGAAAAAAAATTGTGTATTTGAAAAAGAACAAGAGAAAAAAAAAAAAAAACATATAGGAGAGAAAAACTACGATGAGAGAAAACACCGCAGGAGAGCAACCAAAAATCATGCACAAAAGAAAGGGAACGGCCAACGTACTCAAAATTGGCCTTCGGAACAGTTGGACAAGCCCGCCCCCCCACCCCCCCTTCCAAAAGTCCCCCCTGTCCGCGCAGCGACACACACCTGCAGGATGCTATTTGGTTTCGGCTGCTTTCGAGTCCTCTGGCCATGTCTCGTGAGGTACATATGCAGCTGGTGTGTAGTTGTGCACAAACAGCCAGCAGCGGGATGGGTGGCCTCACATGCACACGTGTTAAATATTGTTGCAGGTTCCACTCTGCAGTCCAGCGCTCGTTATACACGCGGCCGGGTTCTGTTTGCTTGGCGGAGGGGAGTCTAGGCTGAAGTGTGGCCGTGAGGGCGGGGCTTCGTACGGGACCACGCTGAGAGATGCTAAGGCTTCGGCTGGATGAGTAAAAACCGGGAGAGGCAGAGGAGGGGTTGGGGGGGAAACAACGCAGGAAGTGGTCACCAGTAGAAGGAGCGGGTCAGGAAGTTGGCGGCCGTGTTGAGCCAGCCCATGCCGTCTGTGATGGAGCCCACGCGCGTAACGGCTTTGTCCTGCTCCTCGGAGGGACTCTCCTCCTCGGGCAGATAGTCCGGGATGTCGGTGTTCTCCTCCACCAGCGCCTCCGAGCCCTCCTGGAATGGCAAGATCAGCTGCACAGACAGAAGAACAAGAAATAAATAAAGTGGGTTTACATCACGCGGAAAGTATGCAGTTTATCGGTCCTAGAGATTAATGTATATCACAAACTAAGGAGCCAAATAGTCCTCATCTAAAGTCACACTGCATGTGTGAGTCAGGTCTGACCCCTGCTGGCCACATTCATTCATGACTATGAATGTGTCCATCGAACATTTCAGCAATAACTATCAGAACTCTTTTGACAAACAAAACCCTTTGGAATTCGGTATTCGTCATCAGCAGTTTCAAATACAGCTTCTGTAAATTTGAGTTCCAAATCTGTAAGACTGCTGTTAAAAAAAGAAGGGTGATTGGTCGCGTGTTTGGCAAAAAGAAAGTAGCCCACAGGCCGAGGCAGAGATGTGACTAGCTAATCATGTCAGTGGGAATAAGTCTCAGCCGCAGGCAAGGGCGGCCACCCGCCCTGTACGCAGACACACATACACACCACGCGCGTGCACGCTGATTTATCGACTGAAAAAACAAGTCTTATGCACAGCATTTAAAGGTAAACAATACAGATCCTGCATCCGGCTTCTCCTCCCTTACCTCTTCCCCGCCCTCCGTCCTCACCACCTGCTGAGCGATCATCACTTTGGTGGAGTTGATTGCTGTGCCCAACGCCTGGGAAGGAGAAAACAATAATTATTTTATTTGTGTGTGTACCTTTTTGTACATTTTTTTTCAGTCTTCAGCTCAAACCTCAGAATACTTTGGTTAAAAAGAACATATGTGTGATTTGTTAAGAGAGCATTTCCCCTAGATTTTAGGCAAACCAGATTATTTAATTCATTTTGTCAATTAAGTTATCAATACAAGTGGAACTTACTCAGGAATGAATCAGTCGCATTGCTGGTTTGTGATATTTTAAAATGTAATCGACCAAAATGACAACTGAAAATCGTGGTTTCCCTGAAGGACGTTACCTCCGCGGTGAGGTCCGAGCGGATCCTCACGACACATCTCTTGACGGCCATCTGGAAGGTGAAGCTGATGACCCCGCGAATTTTCAGCAATGCCGCCTCGCAAAGGCTCCTTCGAGCCTGACAACAGAGCAGAGGTAGGAGTAGACACGTGAGGATAATCAGGGCCGACGCGTCGTGGGTTAAGGGCACAAGTACGCAATAGAGTAGAACTTTGGAACTGTGGATGATGCAGAATCAGCCATAGTTGGGTGAAAAGGGGCCATGAAAACACATTTTAAAGCGTTGTGCTGCTGCGTAGTTTGCCGGGCTGTGGCTTCCAGGCTCCACGGTGTCGTGCGTTTCCGGATGTGGCGAGAGCGAGGCAGCCCAGCAGAGGCCGTCTGTCTGCTGTAATGTTATCTGGCTAGACGCGAGCGTCCCGCAGAGCGGCATTCGGGTTCAATCTCCACGCCCTGCTGTTCAATGGCTGACATTTCCAGCCTGACCCCCCTTCACCTGGGGGTCGGGCTGCTGCGCTGAAACCTCCAAACACCGACAATCGCCAAAGCAACGGCCCGAAAAAAAGAAGATCTGAACGCATCAGCAGACGTGCGGTTGTGTCTGAGCGGAGTGCATCCCGTTGAACACTCACAGAGTCGTCCAGTCCGTCGATGTGCAGAACCACCGTCTTGGCCCTCTTGTTGTTGGAGCCCAGGAAGAACTGGGCTTTACGCTGGCAGGAGGCAGCCGCCGCCTCGGCCTGCTCGGCCTCTTCTTTACCGGCCAACTGCAAGATCTCGTAGATCTCAGACGCCAGCAGTTTGGTCTCCCCGGGTGACGTACTCCTGTGAGTGTGAGAGAGAGAGACAGACGGACAGAAATGTGGAAACAATTACTTAAGGGTGAGTGTACTGCTGTTAAATAGGCATATTCATTGTCAAGGGTAGGTAGATTGGAAATTGTGCATCTTTACACAACCTTATTACCGGGCCATTTATTTTAAACGGAAGGATATTAATACTGATGCAAAAGCAAGTAAACCACTGCAGAGTATTATATTCCAGTGGGCCTTATCTTTCCTTAAAAGAGGCACATGAGGTCAGTTGCACTGGCTGATATTTTTGTGAGGGATCCTGAGATAAACCTGCAGGCTCGAATGCTTTACACGTTATCAAGTCATCACTCCTTCTACAGTAACCACACATGACATCCGCTGTCTGGCACTGCTGCCCTCTGGGACCTCTGTGGCTCCCAGGCGCTGCACCACACACCCCGACGTCGGCTCCACGGTAACCAAACACCCTCCTGGATTAAAGCGCTCGTCCATTCCTCGCATCGAGGAAGAGGCAGCGTCTTCTTGGGCTTCAGATCTTGACGTGTTGGAAGGACAAAACCAATTGTATTCACACCTGTTTGGTGCAACAGGGCCGGACGCTCCCCCCTCAGCCATGTGTTCCCACTCTGTCCAGCCATGATCAACCTCCACCCAAAGTCAGATTGACTGAACTGCGAGCAAGAAAAGCTGCAGCCGTTTCTGCGGGGCCCCTTTTGATGCCAGCCGAAGTGACTGGCCGACTCCGGGGCCAGCAAGAGCTTTGCCGCGGGAATAGAAGGGGGAGGCATAATCACACGGGCTACAGCCGGCCACTTGAGCATAGGTCTGTTCCTATCAGGCCTCTGATGAGGACCAGCAGTCACTTAGCAAAGCTGCCCGGGAGCCTTCGGTGAGACCAGCTATCTGGAGCACAACACCTCCTCAAACCGGCCCTGGACGACGGCACCACATTAGTCACCAGAGTGTGTTGTTGGTGCTGCTCTTGTTCGGTGCTTCCAGAACAGCCTACAAATGACACAACCGCTTTAAAAAAAGCACCAAAGACAATATGATTAATATACCATGTGAGCCGAGTGAGCCACCTCTGCAAAGAATAAAAAACACCAGGGCAAATGAAAGAGAGTAGAAGCTCACGTGAGTAAAAACATGCGAGTTGACTCATCAAGACAATTTAGAGGCGCCCAAAAGCATTAAAATCTGTAAGTTGCAGAAGCAGCAGTTTAACTGTTTAGCACCCTACAATAATTCAACTTCAATCACGCTCATCCTGACATGGCCAATGGAAGGACATCACGTCTGGAAAATCAGCAGACTGGCACATATTGGCCGTGCAAAACAAAAGAAATACTAGGTTACGTTTTTTACGTAAAGAAAGTGCATAGTGAGCATGTGTGTGTGTGTGTGTGTGTGTGTGTGTGTGTGTGTGTGTGTGTGTGTGTGTGTGTGTGTGTGTGAGATGGTGACAAGGACTTGCTTCTGCATGACATTCTGCAAACTCAGCATCATCCCCAGCTCGCCCTTCATCTTCTCCCTGTTGGCTCGACATTCTGCCAAGTAACGCACGGCCTGCAAGGACAAGGGCGACTGTTATCTATCCGGCTGGAAAAGTTGATATCACATATTTATATTTAAATGAATAAATAAGGAGAAAGAGCGAGAGAAAGAGTTTGTAATACCTTCAATATTGCATAACTAAAATAAATACACGCACTGACCCTGTGTTTACACTTCACGGGTCACTCCAAGGAGCAGCGGTTACATAAAGCCACTTGGAAAGTGAGAGTCATGTACAAAAAGGGTGGTGGTGGTGGAAGCGGGGAGAGGTCGCTAAATCAACACAACCATTTACGTTTGGGCTGTCACCACAAAACAGGCAGCAGAGGTCGCTATCGGACAGTGATGTTGAATATGTAGCCGTTTTGAAGCCGCCACGTATGGGCCTGTCACAGGGGCCAGAACCCAACGTCCCACTTAAAATCTGAAACCCTGAATCCTCAGGCACTCACCTGTGGGACAGGCTGTATATGCCTGATATATGACGTTACCCTGGAAATGTTATATGGTATGTTTGATTGTAGGTATTTACTGATTTCAACGTCTTCCAGGCTTTTGCATCACGAGATGAAAGTAAATTTATCACAAAGTCTATTTTATGTTGTTTGACAAAACAGCGTTAAGAAATGAATAGAAACAGCCGGCTGTTTAATGTAGCCTCTGATTGCATTCATCTTATTTAATCTGTTTTAATGCACAGTCTTTAATCCTAATGTTACTGTGTAAATGTACTATGCCAGATTACAAACGGACAAATCTAATGAAACAGCCGCTGTGAATATTTCAACTAGCATGTTATATATATATATATATATATATATATATATATATATATATACTTAGATCTTTGTACGGCGGCGCTGAATAATCAGCCCTGTGTGGTCAAACCTTAAGAGTTAAGCAACAGAAACCATCTGGGACGCAAAAGGGTCTTGTGTATGAATGTAATAAATGCGGCTGCTGCTCACCAATAGTGCCGAGTAGACGACCTGCGGATTGGGGTGGTCCAAAAAAAGGATGAGACCCGGGAGGCAGCCTTGGTCTTCTACTATGGCTCTTCGGTTCAGGGGGTCTGCGGCGAGATCTCGCAGCTGGTTCACCACAGTCAGTGCATCCAGCTCCGCACTCATGGTGCCTCTTGTCGCGATGCCACGCACATCAAAACAACCTCTTCCCTCTACTGAAACAAAAAAAGGTGACTGTTTACTATACAAACCTCGAGAATGATCGTTATTTGACCTCCAGATGGTCAATTCATTATTAGGAATACCAAATGTTAGAAAATGTCCATCGCAAGAGACAATTTTTTTTTTTAATATATTAAAGGATCAATAATAGAAAAGAAAAAAGTAGATAATATTCACATTTGAGAGATGGAATCTGAACCCTGAATGTTTGTCCTTTGTCTTTGTAAAAGCTCCCATTAATTGACTGACAAAAATATTCGCCATCAATTTTGACAATCAACTAAATGAATAAATGAATCAACCAAATGTGGCAACACACACAATCGCGTGGGATGTCTATACAAAAATTATAATAATGCATGTATAAATAAAATAAATAATGATACGACTTGAAAAAGGAAGTACCGGTGGAATGCAGTAAGTATTAACTTAAACGTTACTACAACCCCATCACCTTGGACCATGTTTTACTGATTTTTGGAGATTCTGAGGCTTTAATATCAGCGACAACCTGTGACATGTGGTGCGACACTGTGTGACTGAGGAGGGACGTTTGTAGATCATTTTATGAGTGTTTTTAGTCATATGCATCGATAAGTCCGTCGTTGTCACGAGACAGTGCATTTAGCTTAGCATGCTTTGAAAGGCACATTTTAAAGTCATGTGGTTCAATCAGTGGCTGTACTGTCAACACAATCATGTGATTTTGTAAGACTAAATACCAATACTCGTTGTTTGCCAGAGACACTTTCTACGACCCCCAACCTCACCTCAACACACGCCCTATCGCACAGAGCCGATTCAGCAGCTAAGCTAAGCTAGCTAACGTTACTTGACAATGCCAGCATACCTTTTTGACAGTTTTCAGTAAACGCATGAGACAACCCCGATTGACTTCAGTTCCAAAAGATTCAATGAGGACGTAACAAAAAGTTCCGATGCCACCTTAAACACTACTGTAACAGAATAATGTCACTGACGCTAAGGCCTGCGCCTCTTCCTTTCCTGTGCTTTTTAGCTAGCGACTGTGGCCAGTGTTTGGGTTTTGTGGGACATCAGCGGGTACAGTTGCTTTGTGAACGAGGACGTCCCAGTTTTCCACAATAACCTGAGCGGCTGAGCGGATCTCATCCCCGGCGCGCAATGCAGAGAAACATATTGAGCACACACATGCATTCTGGTAGTTGATTGGACGCGACAATCGGACTGATCGTTACACGAGCCAATCGTAAGATACGCAGTTGGCTGACTTTATCTATCAACCAACTTGAATAACCAATGGGGGCAGCGCATGGCCACAACCTAACATTTCGTTAGTATTCCAGGAATCTTCCTCCTCCCACAAATGTACCACTTTAGCTGTCCGTCAGTGGAAAAAACACAATCCAAGAAAGTAATCTTCCAGCCGGTAAGTCTCGGTAAGTAAATTCCAAAGTCCTTCCACGACCACCGATCGATATGAATGTAACGTTTACGTGTTGTTACACTTAAGGGCAGAGATAACTAACTTAACTACGCCTATCCTCAACATTTGTTAATACATGTGTCGGCGCGTGAAGTTGGCTGTAGTTCCCGAGCTCCCGCTATCCTTGTTACCATATAGCTAACTTAGCCGTTTAACTTCCCTTTAGCTAACACATTAGCCCGTATCATGCATACGTTAAAATCTAACGTTACCTACTAACTGCGACTTATTCGCTTTTAGACGTGTATTCGTGTCTTAGTCAACGTAACACTGTTTAACGTTAATGTACACCCATAAAAAGTAGCTTATCTTGTAAGTGTTACTAAGCTATTTATAACGGTTTTTAAAATTCTGTTAATGCATTTTGATCAACCTGACGTCACAGCTACCTGTCCTCGACTCCTGCCCTGCATCCTAACTTAATATAATGCCTTTGCTAGTAGAAAAAAACATATGTTCTATGGCGTTTTATGAAAAGACAAGAACTTTTTATATAGTAAGATTGTTTTATTTTAATAATTACAATACCTCAACCAGATATTGCCAGCGATGAGAATATTGGAAAGATGTTTGTTATATTTCCCGCACCACCATGAACTCGTACGGAATGTATTCGTACGTACAGCAGCATCTTGTCGCGGATGCGTGAAGCTCATCAAGAAGTCCTTGTTAGGTTGAAGTTTTGAGTTTTCCATTAAAAATAAACTTCTCCCTCTGTGTTTCCTTCAGAGGACCGTTTGGGGATGAAACCCTCAGGTTTCGGGCGCCGTCCATCTGTCAAGAGATGAGTAGAGACCAGCCGCGGGTTGAAATGGACCTGGTAGGTGTCAATCCGTGTCCATGTCTCACTCTTAACAGTGTCTGCTATCAGAATGAAAGCCAAATTACATTTCTTCGTCTAAGTTGTACCCTTTTAGTCTGGCTCTCCTCTGATGTGCAAAGTCTGAGGAAAAAAGCTTGAACTAGTGAATGTTTACACTGGAATGCAGCTTGTGTTGAAACCGTGTCGTCTTTAACGAGATTCTAATGAACAGAATGCGGCAAACTTTTTGTTTTTCCTGTCATTTGTGCTGACGGGTTTTTGTAGGCCTTAGGATCAGCCAAGTGTTATGGGTCCTCGAGGAGCATTGTGAGAAGAATCGCCTCGAGTCTTCCTTTCGATCCCTGCCCCAGGGTTCATTTTCAGGTGAGGAAAGGTTACCATGACGATCGTTGTTATTCTGTTGCTTCATTTAACCTACAGACCAGTCGCTCTGTAGTATTCACATCTAGTATTTCAGGATAATAGCATGTTCTGGTGACAGTACCTGTAACTCTATTTCTCCCTTTCTGTCCTTATGGCTATCTCTCTTGACTTTTGGAAGCACGGCCATCTCACTTCGAATCACACGCTCGCCAGGCGTTTGTTTACCAGAGGATGTCTGACTGTTTTCATTTTATGAACCATAAACAGAATGGATGAAGTCATTAGTGCAGAGATATGTGTCCAAATGTCAACTTTTGAAATAAAAAGACCCCTCGCGGGATTAAAAAAAAGTTACTATCTATTTCAATTCATTGGCGTGTCATTTTTAAATATAACCAAATTGCTTCTTTACTTTTCTGTCTCTTTCAGCTGCTTTCTCTTCCTATCATTTGTCTTTGTCCCCAGCTACCTTTCCTAGCTTGGAGGAATGCAGCATGTCTGCTTTAGGTCAGTGTTCAGTAACCTTCAGTCACTTTGAGTGGATTCAGGACATACTGAGCTACTTTCTAACCTACCTGAACTTTTCCTTAACATTATAGATTCCCTCCCTCTGAACTGCCTTTATTCCCTATTCCTATTCAATGACTCCCTTTATCAGTTGTGGTGTTGTAGCGTGTCCCGGTGCGTGCTTTTCTCTGGTATGTTTTCTGTTATTGCTGATCATGGCTGCTCTCTCCCTGACAGCTTTATCCGTACAACGAGGACGCCGGTGTCCTGATCGGCGCGAGGAGGCAGACCGGTTTGGTGGCCTCTCTGGCTGATGTCGCCTGGCTCGACGGGGATGAGGAGGAAGACGATGTCGACTCCTTTGGCAGACCTAGGTGAGAGCGGGACAGTTGGTCTTCTGGGACATTTGCAGTACTGTGTGTAGGAATGCTCCGTTTCCTGTAAGTAGCGTCTAGTTAAAGAGCACTTCTCCTCCATTGAAGCAGGTCAGCGATCCCAGCGGGGCTCGTGTTTCGAGCTCGCCAGCCTCATCCTCAGAGACCGGCCTTGCCTCGCCAGAGGTCACTACCAAGCCTGCATCAGGGGACTCCGGACCCCGAGGGGCCAACGGCCACCAACGACGAGGCCATTCAGAAAATCGGCGCGCTGGAGACCGAACTTGCCAAACTCCGAGCTCAGATTGCACAAATCGTATTGGCTCAGGAAAAGACCACTCAGCCAGGTATCTGTTCCACAGCCCCAAATATTTACTCCACTGCAGCAAGGCAGCATTTCCTCTAGATGGCAGCAGAGGTTCACATGTCATACAGCTTTTAAGATGTTCTGTCTTTCCTGTGTTTCACCTCAGCTGCTACCACAGTGGCACATCCACCTCCCCCTCCACCCTGTGGCACTCTGCCTCCCCCTCCTCCACCACCACCACCTCCCCCTCCGCTACCTCCACCCATGAGTCTTCAGCGGACTTTTTCTGCCATTGACTTGATAAAGGAGCGCAGAGGGAAGAAGGGAGACGGCCAGACACTTCTGGATTCCCAGCCAGCCGTCCCCAGCATGCTCGACGTCCTGAAAGACATGAGCAAAGTCAAGTTGCGATCCGTCAAAAGGTATTTAAATAGAGAAAAAGGGGAGTCAATTCAGATACATTTGCAGGTAATAACAATAGGTGTTTATGGTCTGTCTCTGTACATTACTGTAGCGAAGTGTACTATACAGTTTTAACTTGTCATACAGAACGCATCTTCCGAGGAGCAGGCGTAGACTTCTGTCGTTTCGATCCGCTGCTGTAAACGCAAAGTCATGTCTTGTACGACGCAAGTAATTAATCGCTAATCGTTTGTACTTGCTCTCGTTAACGGCCCCGTAGTCGGCCGGGGGACTGCGAAGCCAAGGGGAAGTGCAGCGAGCCCATAGACGCCGCATCCCTCATCGCCGAGGCCCTGAAGCGCAAGTTCGCCCACCGCTATCGACACGACAGCGAACAAGGAGACCGGGCGAATTTCAAACTTCCCGTTTCAGAAGGGAAACCTCGGACTGAAACCCCGTTGGTGAGAGACGGTTCTGTACTCGTGGCTGTTACAACTCCATAGGGTCGGCCATTAATGAGGGATGTTGTTTCTGAGGGGGGGGGGGGAAACATATTGAATCAGTCTTCTGTCTGTCTTCACAGTTTGGGCAGCACATGTTGAAGTCGACTGGAAAGAAGAAGCTGCTCTGATCAGCTGATTGGGATCTCGAGGTCCAGATGTGCCGCGGACACTTAAGCGCCTTATCACCCTCTTTATATGCACTGTTTCTTTCTGTGGAACGAGGGAATCGGCCTGAAGTGGATGGCCGGCTGCTCCAAGTATCAGTCATCTTCACCATCTGTTTATTGCACTTTTATAACTACATAATGTTAGCTTTCTGTTTTACAAACATGATTTTGTTTGTTAAACTGAAGGTTTTTGTGTTGAATAGTTCAAACGTCTGTCCTGAGGGAACAGGGTCAGAGGCAACACTACACAATCAATAATCGTTATAAGTGTTGTTGTTCAATCATAACTTATGTTGAACTTGTTGCACATTTGATTCTTTTTGCATTACCATTTCAGAGGGACGGTGAAAGAGTTCTTCTGCCACAGAAGAAAGTAAGCTTTCTTACTTGAATGTTGTGCTGTATCGATCGGCTAATTTATGATTGGGATCCTTTTATTTATGTTGTCATTTAAGTAAATAATTAAGAGTTTTAACAGAGCTAATTATGTCTTCGATTTGTCAGTAATTAATAATCTCTTTTAGACGGCTTTGTACTTTATTTGTTGAGTCTGTGTGAGTTGTGTCTCAGTTGCCTGTCATGTCAGGGATTGTGTGTCTTCGTTGACATCACTTATCTCTTTAGTACGATCTGTTCAAGAGCCAAAGACATTCCAATGATGACCTGCGAGATTCTGCCTTTCACTGCTACATATTTTTTCCCTTCCTTTAGTGAAGCCAAGTTCATAATTCTTGTTTGGATTCAGGCAATTATGCAACTTCTCTATTTGTTAAAGATTCTTTCTCAGAAATGAAAGACTCAGTTTAACATAACCAGTGAGGAAATGCTGTATTATGGTAACTTTCTATATTTAAAAAAACATTTTAGTCGTGGGTCCTACGGTACCCATTATAAATATTCCAACGGTATAAATTATATAGAATTTTATTTTCATGCCTCAGCTTTGAAAAAGACACTAATGGGCCTTTGAGGTTTTTATCTACTTGTTCAAAGTGATTGCTTAGTTCTGTTCATTATGCCAGTGTAGTTGCTGCTATAAGTCAACTCAATCATATTATGGGCCGAGTGTCAGTAGGATTTGAGAAGTTGTCAAATAAAAATGTGTTCCATCGTGACCTGTTTTGGTGTAAATCTCTCATTGAGTCACTTACTCTATTAAAAACAAATCTTCCACAACAGGTTTTATTATTCAAATCAAAACCGCAACAGGCACGTATCAAAAAGGTCAATACAGCAAAGCTTTTACAAAATCTGGTTTCGACACTGAAGTCTTCCCAAAAATGGCTGTCTCAACAAATTGTAAACAGTTTTTTTTTGTTTTTTTTCCCCAACAGTCTTACAGCACTTACATCAAAAATACAAATCAGCTAAAGTAAGAAAAGCACCGGTTATCTTTCAAAAACGTTTACACACCAACACATTGTTGTGCCACTATATTGAATCAGGGTAAACAAACCAAAACACAAAGAAATGGAATGTTCAAAGTCACTCGGCCATTTTGTTTCCGTACAAAAAAAACAACAGCTAGAGTTGTTCCTCACAACAAAAAAAGGCAAAGGGATCGGACAGTGCATTCAAAGACGAGCACGCCATGCACGTGATGGGAACAGGAGCTGGTTTGGTCACTTAGCATAGTTTGTGCATAGTTATAAGGCATCAATCGAGCAGTCCTTTAGGTTGCATGTGGCTGTGAGAGACATTCTGCGGAGAGGGAGAGTCTCCTTCAGTAGATCCTGGCCAGGAACAAAATAAACAAACAAAAAACTAAACAACAACAACCCAATCACCCCCTCTGGTTAAAGAGCCTGGCGGAACCCTGAGCGAGTCCAGTTGCGTGGAGTGGTTCCAGGTGAGATGCATGTGCAGTGGGTAACTGATCTCCAGTCTGGGAGGGAAGCGCCTCTCTCCCTCCCTCCCCCCCCCCCCACGAGTTCAACCAGCCCTGGAAGATCCGGAAACATCAGAAAACGACTTTAACGTCTACAATCGCTTCAGCGGGGTCTCTCTCCGAGGTGTCCCGGGGACGTTTGAGAGCGCGGTTGCACAGGCGCACTTATGGCATCTGGTGAGTTTGGATAATAAAAAATAAAAATAAAGGTACTGCTCGTGGCTTCGACAGTGGGATGACAATTCAAAACGAGTGGTTCTTCGCGTCTGTGCTTGGAAAGGCAAACCGTGGAGTCGACGGGGTTCGGTTCGGTTCAGTTCGGTGGGGGCGGGGGGACGACACAACAAGAAAAAAGGCATAAACAGTCTTCGTCGAGGCAGCAAAAGGACCGGGCTTGTCACATTGTTTTTGTCTTACACGAGGAAGAATCTTCAATACGAATGCAACACGGCATTGAGTCTGAACGCGTCTGAATACTCCAGTTGTCTCAATCGAATGAAATTCAGATTTCGGTCGTTGAACTTTGTTTTCAAATGGCACTTCAAAACACCTGGGGAGAAAAAAAAAAAAAAAAAGTCTTCTTCGGGTCTTCTACTGTTTCCCCTTAATGTTCACCGACAAAAAACAAACAAAACTGGTGTGTTCAGTCAGTAATGCCAAAACTATAGTGGACAATAAATAAAACAAAGTAAATAAGGAAAATACAGCAGTAGCCAAATGAGGTATCTATGTATTGCTATACGCCAAAAGAAAGGAATTAAAAATTAAATAAATAAAATCAGTGGTTTATCAAGAGGGGAGGCATAAGCAACAAATCATAAACAAGGTGTCAAGAGCGGGTGGGGCAGCAGCTGTCCCACCAGGCCCCCCCCTCCCCAATGTGTGGTGAGGTCCCAAATGCGGGGTCAGGAGGTCGAGATGAAGAGGGCACACGAGGAGTGTCAGGAGTCTTTGCTTCCCTGAGGTATTTCTTTGGAGCTGGTATCTCCGGCGGTGACGCTGTCTGTTGGGGCGCCGGCGACTTCCGCGGGGGCCGGGCTGGGCTCGACGGCGGTTTGTTCCTGCTGGAGGCCGACCCAGCTGGCTTTGTTGAGCCCCATGTGGCCCAGCATGGTCTGGGAGAGACGCGTGTCGGAGAAACGGGTCCACTCCGCAAACAGCGGCTCGGCCACGTACGTCATGAAGCCTGCAGGAAGAGACGGCCGGTACACGTCAGGGCGCCGTTTGGGAGGAGTGGGGAAGGGGCGGCGGGGGGGTGCTACAGCTACTCACCGATTTGAATGTTGCCTACTGTGTTGATCGCTCTGTCATAAAGTGGGCTGACTTCAAGACTGTGCTTCTTCTCAATGTCTCCTAAAAGAGAATACAAAGTCAAAATCAACTTTTGCTATTATCCACACACTGCTGCAGAGAATAACAACAGTTAAAAAGGGAGTGACGACAGCTTTGCAGCAGCAAATAAACGCTAACCTTGTTGGAAGAACTCCTCGGTCACTTTCTCACTCCACTGTTTGCTCAGCTCCCAGGGTCTGCAGGGGTTACAGATGTCTGCACACTTCAGAGCCATCTGTAACAGGGCGGGAATAGAAACCCATTTGAAGCACACAGTCGTATCAACAGCGTCGTCTAGCAGCAATCGATTAGCGAGAACGTATGACGACAGGCACTCTAAGCTTCAGTATTGGCATACAGATGTATGGAGGACACAGAGCACGAGGGTCGGTGGGCTTCATGCGTACGGACCTGCAGAATGAAGTGACGGTGGCTGGCGTTGCTCAAGCACAGGTTCTCTTGGTCCAGGTGCCTGCGAAACCTGCACAGGTAGTCGTTCTGCCTGCTGATGTCTGTGGCCAGGATTAAGGAGCCCAACTCCCGCTCCATGTTCAGGCTGAGGGGTCAGAGAGACGAGACGACCCGATCGTTTCAGCGCCGCGTGTGGCCTCTGGTGGCATTAAGCTCTACTAACTCAGCAAAGTAACACGAGGAACCGCTGAATGGGTGCCATCTAACGTGGTGTGCGGCCCACTCAGCATCGTTTCAGTGTCAGACTGACCTGTCTTCAGCGGGCAGATGGGAAAACAGCCCGGTCTCTCTGAAAAGGCCCACCGCCGACTTCCAGTGGTGGTTTTCCAGAACTGAGGTATTCTGCACGTTAGGAAAAGGACACGTTCATTCGATAAGATATCTTCCGCATCAACCCATCCATAAGTAAGTAAGTAATATCAGGCTTGTATTGTGGTTTTCACCCTATAGAGTGTAGCCAGATGGTGGTCAGTCTTGATGAGGAAAGGCTGGTTGACTCCAGGATGGTCCAAGTCATGTGTGGCGGCTGCCAGGATTCCAAGGAGGAGGTCACAAGAGGTCAGAGATTTGGCGAGCTGCGACAAACACGAGACGGTACAAAGATTAGGGTTGGTCATTAAAATACAAATGCTCCTGATGATCACCCTCAGCATCCTTGGTGCAACTTTGCAGGCCTCACCATGGGTTCCCGCATGTAGCAGTACATGGCCTGCGTGACGTCGGCGGCGTGGACAGCGTTATGGTAGGGGTTGTCGCTGTGATAGTCCTCCTGCACCATGACCAGGAACCTCCAGAGTTTGACCATGTCCAGCTGGAAGAGCTCCACCAGGCCGTACTGGTTCAGCAGGTGGACGGTCAGGGTGATCAGACTGTTTCCTGAACAAGAGAGACGTCAGGGTGAGCTTTGCACATGCGATTAAAAATGAGCATTTTCCCTCAGCCATCGTTGCAATGTAGAATGTTCTGTAATTGTATTTATGCATCCACTTTCCATAAACCGGTCTGGACTCCAATAGTTAGTTATTTTTTTAATGATCTTTCTTCTCAAAGCACGATGCACTTTTGCAGATCTCTTGCTTTCAATTTACACAAAAAAGACCAAAAACATACTCTGCATGGTCGTTTCTGCACAGCCCTCATTCGTAACACAACATATCTTGTTCGTATCTACTGAGGCTCCTGTCAGGGCAGAGATATGCTGCAGTTAATTCAATATGCTCCCTATCAGACAAGATGGAGAGTCTATTAAGCTGCTGCTGCTCTTTGAAGTCGGTAACCAAACTCCATTACAGCTGCACGGGGAAATACACAAAGCAAACAACTCATGAGAGAAAAAAAATCTAATTCATTGATTGAATTATAGAAATAATATTTCCATTCATAAATGATCTCATCCAACCATGAAGCAAAGAATCTCTGTTAGTCTCCCTGCGTAACCTCCGAAACCTCTCATCCGATCCAGCTCACACTTGGCTCCGTTTCAAGCCACATGTCAGTTATATTCATATCGTTTTCACATACAAACTTGTATCTTTACCACCAAAGAACCTTCTCTGAACAACATCAACTGTTAATCGTAAACCGTACAGTAAAAGTCATGCATTCAAATGTCAAAGTCCAGAGGGAAAAAGAAAACCGTATCATCACAACACAAGGAAAATCACTACTCATTTCAAAGTGGAGCTTTCAATGTGATCGAGCCTTTCCTCAGCAGCATAAGTACACAGTAAGCACTACACAGCTCAGTTTTATATATACCAGGTGCTTAGGATGAATAAGGAGTAAGACAGTAGCACGATTTATGATTTCTCATTTAGAAACATAAGTCCATGGCAGTTTGAGGCCCTTTTAGTTTGGGGCCCCGGGGCCCGGATCGCTCACCAGGGGGTTTTGCACCTGGTGCTTCATCTCGTGAAGGTATTTCTACGGTGTTTCTTGGAGCTGCTACAACTTGTACGTGTGTGTGGTGCAGTAAAGTTATCTTTATGAGGGTTTTGAACGGGGCAATCTGCTCAGCGAATCCTCTGCGTGGTCCAACATCCAACAGATGGACCCATTAGTAACACATTTATTATACGGCTGCTTTGATGAGTATCAATGAGTAACAGCAGTAAACAGCATTTCAGGTGTTATTTTACTTACCGTTTGTCAACTTATCGAAGAGGAAAATGTCAAAATTCCAGTTCCCAACTTTTTCCAGCATGCACTGCAAGGCGGGGAGAAGAGAAGCACGGAATGGGTCACGCGAGGCCCGAACCAAAAGAGACTGTTACGTTATCAATATACTCAGCAGGGTGAGGGGGGGGGGGTCGTACTCTGGCCTGTCCTGTGTAGTCTTCGTCCAGCATGTGGAGGGGGATCTGCTGGGGGACGCCTCGCAGCAGACGGGATGAGTGCAGGTACCTCTGGAAGCTGAGCAGTCGGTGGACCCTCCTCTCAGGAGTCGAGGTGGCCGACGTGGACCCGTAGCCCGGCCGCGCTGCGCACACACACACAGATGCGCACATCGAGCGACAGAAAGGGCCAACGTGTAGAATATATAGCCACCCTTTTGTTAAATGGTTGCCTGGTTAAACTCACAGAAATCATTTGGTTTAGCACAAACTCGGTGGGGGTCGGACACCAACACACACACACACACAAACACTCGCTGCTGACACAGCCGCCCACTCATAAGCCTCCCGTCTGGGATCACACAACAGACATGCTTTGTCAATGGTCTCTCTCACTCACACGCACACGCACGAGTCTGAATAAACCCTGGCTGCAATCCGGAAACACGTCAGCAAGAAGTAGTATTACTTTTGGGTCAAAATGTGTGTGTGTACACGCACATTTTGTCTAGATGTGTGTGTACATACACATTTTGTCACTAACCGATGGTTTCTAAAAAATGCTTCACTTTAGTTTGAATTGGATATTTGATCACACATCCGTTGGCGGAGGTTCGATCTCCATCTCCATCTCATACTCACTGTGGAGGGTTCGGAAGTCGATGGACAGGTACGGGTGGGAGATCCTTCGTTCCGGTTCAAATCCAACCTGACTTCGGACTCTCACATCTCCTAGAAGAAATGAGCACTTATTTCCTCAAGATTCACGCTGCTCAAAAAGAAGTGTGTGAGTGTGTGCTGGGATAAGAAGATGGTTCCATTATATACTGGATATCTATCCATCCATCCAGCATACGGGCTTCACCACAGATAAACCACACAACCATTACAAATGTGACACCACCAACACAAAATCCTGCTTCTGTAACTACAGACACAGTATATTTTCATCCAGTCTACTGATTCGGACTTAATCTTTTTTTAAAGACAAATTAGAATTTACTCTTCATCATCGTATTAACAAATACATGCAATGCAAGATTCAACGGAGAGACAATCCATCAATCCACAGCCGAGCACGCAGCGCCATCTCAGGACAATCTGCCACCGAGAGTTTTTTCCGCAGGACAACTAGGACTGCTTTGAGTCTCCAGACCAAAAAGACTGAAGCCGGCCGGCCGGCCTGCAGGCAGGAGCGGCGAGGTGACGGGAAGGCGCTGCGACGCTGATGCAGTAAAATGCTAGTGTGCGGTTCCGGGCAACACTCTTTGTGCAGCGAGTCTGTGTGTTGCAGAAGCGTCATCAAGGTGCTAAACAGCGCAGCGGGATGTTTCCGGTTGTTGTTGTTGTATGCAAAACATAAATGAGGACAAAACAAAAACACAAAACCCTTCAGTTTGGGAACTCATTAGGTAGTGTGTGCTCACATTTATATTCATACAACATCATCCTCCGGGTGCTCGGATTCGGCATGAGTGTGTTTCCCGCCCCTCCCCCCAGAGTCGCAGGGTCCACGTTTTCTATCAGTGCGTTAGTGCTGGAACTCCGCAGTGAACGCGGGTCGTGTCATTAAAACTGGGACTGAGTCCCGCTGCTATTCGTAAAGCACGGCGACCCTGGGCCGTGAAAAGCGCCGGCCCGCATTAGCGTGCCTCTTGCCACTTTCAATTTAATATAAAGACCTACGGACGCAGGCGCTTCAGGCCGGTGACATGCGAGAGCGCCATCACACTTAGCCAAGTGAAATAATTAAAAAAAGCAAGCTAAAGCTCCTTTCGGTGAGCTCAGTAAATTGCTCATGGCGAGACACGGGCATTATTAAGCTGCAGGGCAAGCGGTTCCTCTATCTGCTGCACCCTGCCGCCCCGAATAACATCTCATTTAAGAGTGAAGAGCGATGGGGGGGAGGGTAAAGGGCACATCTGTGTGGGGCGGAGTGATGTGGTGGTGCACCCGGCGTCGAATCGCACCTTGATCCTCAATAGCGGTGATTGATTAGGAAGCCGACGCTGGTCTGGATGCTTCCTGGACGGATTGAACGCCATCTGCCCGGCCAGAGCCATGAGCCTTTTGGTGCACTCATCCATTTTCTAAACTGCTTATCCTGTTTTGGGTCGGCCGAGGGCAGCCGCGGGCAAATGGACGCGCAGGAACACAAACCACCAGCACGTAACACACAGACACGCAAAGCACACACTGCCAAAGAACCCTTAAGTGCGTTTAGTGCTCAGATGAAATTCTGTGCCCTCAACAAAACTTGATCCAACTTCAAAAAGACACTCAACGCCACAGACACACAAAACTATACGTCTATTTCGATTGAAAGATTACCAAGAGGCCAGGGGATTAAGCAGATACACACTCTTGCGCGTCCCCGTCGCTTCATAATCTCTACATCAGGCCTTTTTCCATCTCACTTCTTTTTAAGCTATTGTGTATTAAAGAAATGATCGTGGAAGAGATGAACCTACTGATGTGTAGTGTGCGTGTGTGCGTGTGTGGGCATAGAATGGGGAAACACTTACCTAGCATACGGATGTACAGTGCTGTCTGATCCGAGCTGTCATAGGAGATGGCCCCACGTCTCTGGAAAAGCAAAAAAACACGTCATTAAACAACCAGTTTACACCCAAAAAATATCACAGAGTGGATGCGGGTGGTGTCACAATCTCCACCAAAACACACACTTTAAAATATATAAACAGTCCGATAAGGAGGATGGTGTAATGTCGCTACCGTTTTTCTAATCTACTGTACGTCCATGTGTTTCTCATATGACTGATAGCAGTGGCCTAAACTGGAACATATTTATCAGTGAAGCAGTCTGTATGCAGAGTGCTTCTGCGCACGCACGCACACGCACACAGATATCTCCAACCACCCTATATGTTCTTTGGCATTTTTAATCCCTTAAAGAGTCTCAAAATAAAGTTGAAAATACACAATGAAAAGGGATGTGGGAAATAAGCACGTCCCAGATCCGACGTCAGCATGTCAATGCAATTTGAATTGACTTTAGTAGAACTAACAAACAGGACAGACGTGGTCAGGAACCCATTGCAAGTCAATGCCATTCGTCAATGGCGTGAGTATTTAATGAATCATTGTAAGATTATTCAAAAACAGCTCTTATTTTTTTCTATTAGAGCCACTAGTCTTGTTGAGCTGACATTAATAGTGTCGAAATATCCAAAAACAGGACTTCGGGCTGCTGCATCACAAGAAGACTTTTTCTAAGATGCAGCTACAGTCAAGCCACCATCACGTGCAGAATGTTTGCACAAAGGCTGTACCAACATTCCCTGTTCAAAACGTTTCTGAAGCCGCGGTTTAGCGCCGAGCTATTGTGAACTCGTTGGGAATTGGTTTGCTTCTTCTAACCCTGGAAGCCCCGACAGGTTGCCAAACACGGACGAGGACCCCAACAAATAAGCGGACAGGTCGTCCGTTTTATCATCACTTCTGTCAACAACCCACTCCCGTGCAAACAGGGTCCCGCACCGGCATCGCGGAGCTACAGATCTGCTCTGTCGACAGACAGCTGCTCCAGGCTACACTCAAGTATGGGCTCACCTCTCGGTGCACTCCACAAAGTCGTAGCCCCCCCCTTCCTCAGACAGACTGCTCTTGTCCTTGGGTTACCCATTCCACTGGGGCAGTGACATGACTGCCCATTTTCTGACGATGAGAAACCGGTTACAACACAAAATAACGCAAACACAGATGTACACGTTTGCGTTGCGATTACTTAATATCCTTAAGATTACTGTAAATCCCCCCTCCCCCCCCCCCCCCACACACACACACACACACACACAAAGACACCTGACACCGCGTGTCCTCTAAGCTCATGACAGCCGCCAATCCAAAGCTAATATTTTACCGGCTAGCAAACAGCTCGCCTCGGGTTGGGTGATCTGTAAAGCTGTATTTTAGTGTCAACAGGCCTTCGTGTTTACACACAGCACTAGCGGTTAGGAATATTATAGATCGTGAGTATAGATGGGCGGATAGTGTGCATGTGTGTGTGTGTGTGTGTGTGTGTGAGGGGGTTGGTATCAGCTTGGGAACTGTGCAACACTGGCTCTGAGGCTGGGAATGGAGGAGTGACCAGCGCTGCCAATACTTCCCCAAACAAACATTTTGGCCAGAGCTTGCTGTGCACACACACACACACACACACACACACACACACACACAAAACCACACACACAGGGCAAGCCACCAGTTGGCACCTAAGTGGAAATTGCTGGCATGTGATCGCTTGTGAGCTGGTAAGAAGGAGGTGGCGGTGCCAACGCTGTCAATGTCACATTCTCACTGTGAACGGAGGGGAAAGTCACATTTTACCCTTGGAATGAATCTCACAACACACACACACACCCCTGCACACGCCTTGCAGTTCCAACACACGCAAAACCATACACCCATAACCCAAGTCATGGTATGAATTGAACTTGAGATCCTTTGTGAGACGTTTCTTTTGTCATTTAAGCTTTGCAGCCGAGGCCGATGGGAAATAAGGGAGAGATGCAGAATGTAAAAGGCAGGTTTAAAAAAATGGTTTGTTATGGTCTTCAAATAGATTTTGAAAATTATTGTTGGTATTCTTTTCAACAGCAATCAATTAATGAAAAGCTGAGACAATTAAAGAGAAACAGACCCAATATCTGTGCCGATTAGTGGACGGGTTACCTGACTGGTCGCGGGTGAATACATTCTTCACTTCACTCTTCACCCTGGAATCCTCCACATGCGGCTAACGTAACAGCTGGGACAATAAACCAAAGCCACGTGGGTTATTTTCATTCATAAATGATCATTTTAGCAGTGAGGCTTTTTGGAAGGAGGCCTGAAAGTACCGGTTTAGATGGAGGTGGCCTCATCTGACCGAAGATTGATAATTATCTGCAAACTAAGGCCTTACCAATGGACGATTCTAAACACACACACACACACACTTAACAGGAATGCCGTTGCACTTGTACCGCAGATGCGTTAGCGATGACGATCTGACCATCGAGTAGTTGCGACTCGGGTGACTCGATGCCGGGTGTGTTGCTCAGGACCCGTTGGAGTGTGAAGATGTTTGTGTGAGCGGTTCATGAGAGAAACGCAAGAAGCGGGAGCAATAACATGTTTAACGGTTTCCCCAAATGGGTTACAGGGCACTTTACTTCTTTTAAATTTTGTAAAACTTTACAACGGCTAATCTTATTTTTGGGAAACGTACTTCGGGAGCCTTTAGCTGAACGCCTCCCGCTGCGGCCAAGTTCTCACCCCCGCAGCCCGAGAGCAAAAATTCAGTTTGTCTTTTGGTTGGCTGCTGGCGCAACAGTCTGCCCATTGTGCTCCCTGCAATTCCACGTGAGCTCGTTTGCATACAGCTCGGTTTCTAATCTGGGCTTATTCCCGCCGCCTCGGGTCGCAGCATTCAGCCTTCTGGAGGTCAGGAGGTCGTGTGATGTAAAAAAAACGTCATTTTCTGGCACGTTACAGTGCCGTTTGCTTCAAGCACAGACGACTTGTGTCAAATTAAAAAAAAAAATGTAAAAGCACTGGCCACGTTGCAAGAACTAAAATTCAAAACAGCCTTTTCACACATGCTTCCTTGTCATTGTTGCACTGTGACGTCAGTAAGTCAGCTGCAGACAAGGAAATGAGGAAGCCAGCAGTATTCCTATAAACTGACGTATGATGAAACAAAGCTCTGCATGCACACTCCCCGCCCCAACACACACACACACACACGCACGAATACCCAAGATAAAAGCAGCAGCACATTTTCATAAACTAAAAGCTTCTCTCTGAGTTCCAACCTCCTGCAGCACGCTGTCGCGTGCAACGGCACATTCCAGTAACCGAGTGCTGGACCATCAATGCGGACAAGACTGAAGTGTGTACGTGTGTGTGTGTGTGTGTGTGTGTCAGCCACTGCATACACAGAGCCCTAGATGGAGTATACCTGTGGAAAGTGTTTTATGAGATCACTGTCCACTCTGACACACTCCAGCTGCAGGGAGTTTTTGAGAAAGGGCTGCTGGCTCGAGGGCTGGCTTGGGGAGGACGGGGGAGGGGGGGGGGGTTGGCCCCTCGAGCGACGGAGTAGCGCTGACAACAAAGAACAAAAGGAGCGTGCTAGTCTAGCCTATCTGCAACTAACGTAGTTGTTCTTACTGGCGGGTAGATTGTGGAGAAGAGGCGTAAATCATTGTAAGACAGAGAGCCTTGTGCAAGTAGATTTAGGGGGGTGTGGGGGGGGGGGGGGCAGTGTAGTGCGGGCGAGCCATCCAGCGGGCACAGGAATTTTATTCATCATCTCCCTGTGGGCCAGGTTAATGCGCCCCACCCCTTCTCCTTTGCATGTCTTAGCTGCCCGACGAGAGCAAACAAAACCCAAGTTGACAACCAGTCCGCTTTGTGTACAGCCATCACATGTTTATAGGACTCTAAATATGATTTATCTTCAGCCAGCTGGCCCCTGACATCGTGTCTGTTAGCGTGTTGAGGTGTGCGGCCACAACCTCGCGGCCGATCGCACCCGACATTGCAGCACGAAAACAGACTGGTCGTGTGATAAGACACGCATAATGAAGACAGGATGTAAGATTTACCCTGTTTATTCTGTAAATTGGTTAGAGCACATCCTCGCTCAGTAAACACCGGCAGGCATTCCAGGTCATTCACGCACATTACGCAGAATAACAAACTTTGGCAAGGGAGCGAGTTAAAGGTTTTAAAAAAGAGCTGTTGTGAAACACCGGGCTCGGTGCGTGTGTGTGATTGTGTGCGTGTGCGTGCGCGTGTGTACAGCTCCTTCAACATTCTGACCACATCCTGAAACTACGTCAATCCGATGGCAACGCTCAGTGAGAAATGCTTATCGCTTCAGTTAGAAAGAAAAAAAAAAACGGAAAACATCAACAGAGTAACTCCCTCAGAGAGACAAACTACTGAGTTTTAAGTCATGCGCAAAAACATGAATCGAGCCCCCCCCCCCGTCCCTAAACAATACTCCATCAGGAGGACTCGGCCCGGGTTCAGTGGTCCTCTTGATGATGTCTCTAACGCAGAACCGCGCTAACAGTCCAACCCGTTTGTTCCAGTTATCACCGATCGCCACGTGACCGCGCTGACCTCATCAATGCCGTGGGCCCGTTTATTGATTATTGCGTCTCCGCCGGGTTATCTGTGGGGTGGTGGGGCTGAAATAACATAAAAACTATGAGAGAGTGTGCGCAAGTGGGACAGAGCAACTTAGCCGCGCGGCCATGTGGCGTCTGATACGAGTCTCGCCGACTTGATGCACACGATACATCCATTTTGAGAAGTTTAGTTTGGCACGTACTTGTCCTTTTCTTCTGGACTTAACCAATCCATCACTGTGCTGTTTACCCTTCACTCAGAGAAGCTGGGGGGGGGTCAGCGAGCTTCACCACACACACACACACACACACACACACACGGTAAACAAGGAGTAACCAACATTTATTGTAATAAAATCAATCAAAAGGCCTTGTGCTAGAGAAATGAGCCAGTGTATTTCATGCGTTCTCAACGCCCCGTCAGCAGCATATTTACACCCCGCCATAATTCCACGACCACAGAGTGATATATTCTTCTGAGACCGTGTCTTCAACCCTACTCTTTTGTCCTCTGTTTACAAGAGGAAATGTCTTCATCTGCGAAGAGGGTGGGCGCAAGAGGAGAAAGAGAGGGAGCTTGTGAGTGAGCCAAACAAGAGAGCTGGAGAACGAAGAGAGGCCGGAGACTTCGGCCATCTGGGAGTCTGGCGGCGAGCCCAACCACTGCCCACAGAGCCCCGGCACATGCCTAACGGCCTCCTGGCAGCGGCAGCGGCAGTCCAGGGCGGCTTCCACAAACAACAGACCCCGTGGAACCGCACACAAAAACACAGCGGCCACCAAGGACAAACGCACCCTTATGGTCAAGAGTTACGGCCCAAAAACACAATATTTGCAGAGGTGTAATTGCTGTGTGACGAAGGCTGAGTGACACTGCGGTGTCACAGGGTGCATGTTCACCCCATTCTGCAACTGAGACGAATAACTATGTCAAAAGTCCTTTCATGTTGCAATCTTGTTTATTGCTTTTGAAACCTTGCACAATTTATGCAGATGATCATTTTTTAACGTGAGGGGGGGGGGGGGGGGGACTCGCTAAACACTACAGAGTGCACCGGTCGTTGCATCCCAGGGATTTACTCTGGCATGGCTGTGGTTTGAGGAAACACCAAAAAAGGCACAGGACAGAAATGGGAAGAGGACCAGTGAGGACGAGCAACATCGAGGGCCTTCTTTGGTAGCTGCCGGCGATGGTCGTGGTCGGTTCAAAGGGGACACACATGGGCGGTTATGTGGGGCAGCGTCTTGCACAAAGCACTAATGGACGGCCTGTTGAGGAGGAGGCTCACGCAGTCAAAAGACAGGGACTTAATGTGTTGGGAGATGTCCTCCTTCGCTGTGGCACCTTCCCGTTCATGACCCCGAGCAGCAGGCGAGTGATTCCACAAGAGATGAGAATACGCCCGGCTGCTTTTCTGCAGAACCACTGAAGCAATAGCAAAGGTCCCCCCCCCCACCCTTATTTAAAAACTATAAACATGTGGGGAAAGAGTTCACTGACACAAGACTTGGCGTGCGCAACTTTTCTCTTAAGCCGAGGTTGCAGGCGCACGCACGCGGACAAAAAAGGCCCGATGCGTGCAGCTTGTTCACCTAAACGGTGAACCAATGCTGGTGCATTGTGGGGGGAGTTTGACTATGACTCAAGGACTTTAGGTTTCATTCGTCAAAAAGGGTCAAAGTGCGTCATTACAGAAAAAACAACACGGCACGTTCCTTCTGGCAAACGCGGCGTGCGGCAGGAGGAAAGCGGTGTACTTTGGGCACCGTTGCCAAAGGCGTAGAGGGCCTTTATCAGGGGGCAACACGCGCAAATGCAAAGCAGTGGCAGTTTGGTTCGTATTTGAAGTCTTAATAGATAAGAAAATGTTGTGAGTGTGTGTGTGGGTGTGTGTGTGTGTTGGGGCCTAGAAATCCAACAACCACCTGCAAGATTCCTGTGGATTATTCATACGTTTGTGGGAAAAGAATTGTGCTGGTTTTGTGTGGTTCCCAGAGCCGGCCCCACTGTGAACACACGTTTTATTCATTGAGTTTTTTTAAAGAGAATAAAGAGGTTTGGTGTGTTTTTTTATGCATTTACCTGTGACAGCTGTCTCGGATCAGGAGCCCCGAAGAGAGAAGAGCTGGAGCTGAAGCTGATGGCTCCTCTGCGGCTGAGGACGTGCTTGGGAACCGGCCTGTCTAGAGGCAAAACCGGCAGCTGGTAACATACTTCCATTGAACAGTCAGTGCTGGAACCGGATCGAAAGTATAAAAAAAAAAAATACAAAAACAAGGCGAAAATAAGAGAGTGAATTGGGAAATATTTCAACGCCGTGGAAACGGTCTGCTGTCGAGCTGCAAAGTACTTCTGGTCGTCAAGAGAGACTCAAAACTTGTCCCGATCGACTTCATGGATGCTGCGTGTTTTCTACCTCCACCGTTTCGACTCCTCTGGTGTCATTCTGTTGGGGAGACGGAGAAGGAGGAGGAGAAGGAGAGATATATATTCATGCCGCCGTTGCCTTCGCTCTTTTCCCTGCTCATTTTACTGAAATCCGGGCCCACGGGCGACGAGACCTTCTTGCCATTTTCTGGGTCTTTCTGAAAAATACTTCCTCATTTCCAGAGCAGAAGAGAAGAAGAAGAAAGAAAAAAAAGAAAGAGACTCCGCTCGTTTTGCCTCGCGTAGCTTTCCACGGGTCCGCACATCACATATCGCCCCCCCACCACCACCGGAAAAAAATAAATAAATAAAATATATAAATTAAAAATATCACAGTAAATGCAGCGCGGTGAGACCTCGCCGGTCTTGGGGAGGCGCGCGTGTCTTTTTGTTGTCCCTCATTCGGACTTCACGCCGGGGGGGCGAGACGCAATCAACACGTAGGGCTTCTCCGTCTGCTCGGTGAAAAGCTGCGGGATTTGAAAGGAGCCGATTTTGTTCCGTCCGGCTGAAACAAGGGAAACCCCGACGTTCATCCCTGTCCGCCCGCCCGGGGTTCCGGTCGGAGTTTAAAAAAAGGAAGAAAAAAAAAAGAAACAAATGGCTCGAGACGCTTCGTCTTCTCCCCCACAACAATAAAAACGACCAACCGACAGACGACAACGGAAATAAGCTCGATGGTGTTCGTGTCCCCCGTTGAGTGGCTACATATCGTCCTAAACATTAGCCTACTGTAAGGTTTTAAAGCGCACACTACCTGCCAGAGATGGTGCTGTTGGAGCAAAGCGAAAGAAAAGAAGAAAAAAAAAGCCCTTTTGTGAAGTCAACCAATGGCGTTGAGGTTGGTATTGTAAGCTCTCCGCTGATTGGCTGAAGAGGCACGACGCGTTTGAACCGGCTCATGCGATTGGCCGCGGAGGGGCAGGGCGATCCCGAGACCCGTGTGAGCAGTCGTTTGTCGAGCGTCCGTGGACCTTCTCAAGGGTATTCCTCCACGACGGGGCTTGCCTCGCAGCGGTCCACATCGCTGCCTGTGATTACCCTTCCTCTCATGACTAATGCTCTCGGGAGCTGAGACACACCGGGAGTTTGAAATACAGCCAGGGAAATACCGCAAAAAAAATGTTGCAGCTCTGTGATGCTGAAGCGGTTAGCTCCATACATAAACATAAAATATATATATATATATATATATATATATATATATATACACACACACACGACTGCGTTTTGGCAGTGACTCAACTCAAAGCGTGCTGATTTGAAATAGTAAATATTACTGTTGACTGCATGCATTATTTAGGGATACGTGTCTGCAACAAATGCTCTTCAGGTAATGGACCATTGTTGTGAGCGTTTGTTTTATTATAGTTTTGCATGACGATGTGTAATAGATGTATTAAATAATTCCATAAGGTGTAAAAAAAAAACCACACACACACTCAAAGCACTAACAGACCATAACATGGACATTTTCACTGGAGGCTGCTGTGCCAATGCCACGTGCTGGGGGACAATGGATGCGCCATGGCAACAATCAGGCCCGGTGCCAATGGAAGCGTGATCCTCTATTTCCATGGGTCTCAAAGCAGCTACCCACAATAGTAAATTCCTCCCTCCACAAAAATGTTCATATCATTTCTATATATCATATAGATCATACAGCTACTTCTAATTCATTACCATTCATTCTAGATGGTGGAGAAAACCCAATCTCAAACTCTTTCACATACTACTAATAATAAGTCACATCTTGATGTTTCTGGGTATCTGCAGCAAAAGGGAAGGTCAGCCGCCAACTTATGCAATCAGTTCACAAACCTGTTGTTGCCAGACAACTCTGATGTGGCACATGACCGTGTCGATGACACGTCACGTGCGCGCGCACATACTTCACATTCACTCACTGGCTCACGTAGAGGAGGTAGTTTTTGTTATTTCATTACTTCCAACACACCCATCACGCCTCGCACCATTTCTCTCACACACAGTAAAACACATCTTGCACATCTTTTGTCGCATGCCAGGTGCGTTTATAGCATCGCCCTGCAGGCGCTTTAATGAGACAGGTGGGCTGTACCTGCTGATTCCCCTTGAGGCCGCAGGTGCGGAATCTGCTTGTAAGGCCGACAGAGATCAACTCATCCCGGACTATTCCGGCGGGGAGATGTCTGGAGACAAATCGCAATCCGCCACGGTGGGTCTAATTGATTTACCTGTTACCCTCTGACGTCACTGCGGGTGTCACGGGAGTCATTCTCTGTTGCTGAATCACCCGCACGGGAGTTTTGAGCCTGTTCTGCTGATGTGTATATATATGTGAATATTTTCACTGGAGGTTTCTGTGCCATGGCCATGTGAAATATATACATACATCTGTAAACGTCAAAATTTGATTGAACTGCACATGATCAAACGTTAGACTACATATTAGGTGCCGTGTCAAACCCCTACGTTTATTTTGTGTGTATTTAGTGCCACCTTGTGGTGAAAAAGAGCACCTACAGCTACAGTGCTGGTGAGATTTTAAAAACAATCAAATAAACTATTGAGGTTAGTTAACCATACTTTAAAGAAGTAAGTGTCTTGATTTGTAATCAGAGGGGATTGTTGTAATTGTGTATTCCATATTAGTTTTACATTATCTAATATAGTGACAAACACAATATAGGACCTGCCGAATGAAACAAACATGTTTTGCGAAACACTTTTCCGAGGTTAAATATGTGCAATGGTGCAAAGGACGTAATGTGAAAAGTGCTTGGTCCCAGATTACATCTCCATACCAGCTTAATTTGTTATTTATGTTTTACTGAGAAGTATCTTGTTCTATCTACAAGCAGGAATGAATCACAATTAAATCCAACAGCCCAACCTCAAGTTAAATGTAAACTCCAATGTGATCTGAGCCAAATAAACACGGCAAATGTTTCTATCTTGTCCTCCTAGACTTTAAAATCTGGGATGTGGTGCTTTTCATTTTTCTGGAGCTGAGCACTTTAACATTATTGAAGCCCCGCCTCTTTTTCCAGGTAAGGATTGCAGCAAAGCCAATGTGCAGTAGTGCATCTAGTAGACGCAGAGTGTCCTCTTCTTACCACTAGATAGCACTCTTTTACTGTAGTAAAAGGGCACTGGGCTTCACCGTCACAGCTCCTCACAAACTATGACATAAAGCTTGAGTGTAAAGTTCACACTACCGTTTTGGTGTCTTTGGTAAAAATGGATTTATTCATTTGCTCTCTAAGATATTCACACCTTCCACTTTTTGTTGAGACATCCCAAAATAAATGCTGAGTAACCCCAGAGAGAGAGGGGGGTCAGATTATTTACTCAATTCCACCGAACCACACCAGCTTCAGGAATGTATGGATTCATTCCCATTTTCTCTGTATAAAAGAAATACACCTTAAAGATGACTCTATGCCTGGCTTCAGATACCCATCAGAGAAAATGCTCAAGGATTCATTCTGCATGTTCACTGCTACACCTTCAGTGTTACCTGTTCAATGCGGCCGGGCTCTTGCTCTGTAAACACTTAGATGGTGGATTTGTTTGAGACGAGACAATGTGGACGACCCCTCTCATGGTGCAGTGGGAGGTTAGAGAGAAGCACCAGAGTGCCGAGCTGCATGTGAGACCTGGAGCTGCATGTGGTGACTGTTAAAACAATCTCTGACGTCTCTTTTACGTCACTGTATGGGAGAGGATTATATAAAACTTCATCCGACTGTTTGATTGAGTAGAGCCAACTACTCCAAAAGAACTCGTCCTGCATACGTGTCCTAAAAAAGTTGATATTCAACTGTACATTTGTCATTTTGTTTGTACTAAAGATTGTTTTTGTAATGCTTTGCTACATTTGAAATCACAACTATTAAAAGATATAATTGTTATATGTCCATATGCAAACTATTTTACCCATGAATTTGTTACATTTACTTTTTAATGCAATGACTTCAAAAATAATACGGGAAATATCAATTCTGATAATAAAAGTGTTGCTTCATTTTTTTTAGTTTAGTTAATTTGTACACATCGTTAATAAGTTTCAACTTGTTTATTGCACATTGAAGTGGGGGAAGAATAAGAAGACACTATCTGCTTATTTATTTATTATAACGAACAAATTCACCATGTCCATGCATTTAAACAACGAGAGAGATCGGCTGAAAAAGACGGATTTAAATCAGAAAAAGCAACCTCCTTCGAGCCGGATTCGAACCAGCGACCTAAGGATTCCCATGTAACCACTACAGTCCTCCGCTCTACCAACTGAGCTATCGAAGGGATATGTAACCTCCATGAGATCCAGGAAAGATATAGATTACTTGAAAGGAGCAGTCGTTTGCTCGCTAGTTGAATTGGGGTTTTTCGCACTGCGTTAGCTTCTACTGTCACTCCATTAGGCGAACATGTATTGTACAGTTCTACTGTAATAACTAATCTCTACTTCTACTAATCTCACTACGCTTACTTGCTATCAAGGGGAATTAGCTCAAATGGTAGAGCGCTCGCTTAGCATGCGAGAAGTAGCGGGATCGATGCCCGCATTCTCCAATTGGATTTTATTTTTTCCACATAATTATTTAAAGCTTATCATTTTTTTGTTTTGCATTGATCTTCCTCGCAAGTACCTAATAATGGGAGTGAAGAGGTACATGTAATGATTCATAAAAACTGAACCAACAATTGTTCATTTGAGGGGAATTAGCTCAAATGGTAGAGCGCTCGCTTAGCATGCGAGAAGTAGCGGGATCGATGCCCGCATTCTCCAATTTTTTTTTCGTTGCGTTTTTAAAGAGCCGAACGTTTTCAATTAATGTTGTCTTGCATTGATCTTCTTTCCTAGTACCTTCAATGATAATGGCCCTAAAGAGTGACATGCAATGAAAGCTTCGAAGTTGGCCATCACTAATTCTTTCAAGGGGAATTAGCTCAAATGGTAGAGCGCTCGCTTAGCATGCGAGAGGTAACGGGATCGATGCCCGCATTCTCCAATGGGTTTTTTTCGTTGCGTTTTTGAAGAACCGCACATTTTTTAGCAATGTTTTGAATTGCATTGCAATCAAGCTAGCTTTAGCTGAGATTAGATAACCTAATGGCTAACCTTATCGAACGAAAACGTAAACGTAAACTGCAAATCTTTCAGAAAACACAATTGTATTGCTGTGAACATAACGTTACACCCATTTCCTGTGGCGGAAAAGTTGCCGATCCGTTCACGTCTTAGTTGACGTTAGCTTAATTAGCTTAATTAGCATAGGCAGCATAACGTCAGGGCTAACTTAACGTTAATATAACGTTAGTTACGTTAATATAGCCCGGATGTATCACTTCATCTGACGTCATTGTTTAAACATAATATTGTGTTATGAGGAACAAAAGCATGCATCATTACAATCACTATTATGGCTAATGTTGTTGTTGTTTCTGATTTCTAGATGTGACGTAAGGCCTCCAGCTAAGCAAACCCCTTAACACACACTGCACACACACGCAGCTTTGACAACAGCGTAGTGGACGCATGTTGGTCATGTGCGGCTGTGCAGCTGTCCACTTTCAAATATGGGCATGGTAAAAATGGCACCCTTTGACGTGACAGCAATAGCTGCTAAAAACAGAACTGACAACAGCTAGATAGGAGCCCGCAGCCCCCAGGACGAGAGCAGCAGGCCTCCAAAGCCTGACTCCGGCCTACACAACACGGCTTACACCAAACGGATCTGTATTCCTCACATTACCTTGGGATCTTTTCTTATTTGTGTTGTTTTGTGTCCTGCTACAACAACAACAAAAAGTGCTGGTCGACAATGAACACCATGGATAACCTGGAGAAACAGCTGATTTGTCCCATATGCCTGGAGATGTTTACAAAGCCGGTGGTCATCCTGCCCTGCCAGCACAACCTCTGCAGAAAATGTGCCAACGACGTTTTCCAGGTAAGCGACTTAAGGAAACGCCACTGATCAGTTTAGTAGATGGTTTTAACATTACGGGGGAAAGTGTTTCTAAACTTTAGTGACACAGCTTTGGTTTCATGTAGGCTTATCCAACTTACGGCCTGTGTCATTTGAACCAAAGGAAATATGACAAAGCTCCCCTTCATTCAAGGCCAAATCAGGGCAGCAAAGATTACGTGCTTATAATATGCTCGTAAACATGCAGTATTTCAGCTGGAGAAAGATGCATCTTTTGTTTTACAACTGGTCACATTTGAAAAAGTTAGGAAAGTACGGGACATTTGAGATTTTGTTGTTGTTCGACGTAAGTCCCTTCATTGAAACACTTGTAAACCGGGTGGGACGTGTTAGCAGGTACGTTTTTAGACTCTGGGTTTTTTCTCTTTTGTATTATGAAGTCCTTTTCCACTGGATTCCTATTTCATAAATATTGAGTAAAACAATTGAATACCCTATTGACAATGATATTCAATTATACTCCCGTTATGCCAAATGTGGGGTTTGAATTGTGCTTGTTTACAGGCCTCAAACCCATATCTTCCAACGAGAGGTGGCTCGCTGACGTCTGGCGGCCGCTTCCGATGCCCGTCCTGCAGACACGAGGTGGTTCTGGACCGCCACGGTGTCTACGGGCTGCAGAGGAACCTGCTGGTGGAGAACATCATTGACATGTTCAAGCAGGAGTCCAGCAGGTGAAACGGATCGGATACACAGATGTGATCCGTTAGTCATCTATCTACACGTACACAACTATCCACAACACTCGACACCCGCTTCCCAAATCACGATTTTGTGTTTTTACAGATAATTAACTGATATTTATGGGGATGAATTCCCCTCATAATGTGAGAATGAGTGACACAGAAAAAAGAGATAGACGCCCACGTCCCCTCACATGGCGCTGAACCCACACCTGTATTCTACACACTGTAATAGTGATGTATTGATTACAGCGCAAACTGCCAATGTGCATGACAAGGGGCGACTGATGGATCGTCAATAAGCCACTGGAACGTCTACCTGTGACATTATCAAACCGACATTACTTGTCTCATCAATATGCAGCGCAATGTGCGGCCTGACGGGAAGATAACGCCTTTTTCTTTACACCTCAGCAGCAGCAAGCCGGCGCCCGAGAGAAAGGAAGAAACGCCCATGTGTGACGTCCATGAAGAAGAAAAGATCAACATTTACTGTGTGACCCACGGCGTGCCCACGTGCTCCATGTGTAAGGTATTTGGAGCTCACAAAGACTGCGAGGTGGCGGCCATCACCAGCGTCTACCAGTCAAAGAAGGTGAGGGCCTGAAACTCCCGTCATGGAGCTCATGAATACTGTCTGTCACGAGTGTCACAAGCACATCTATATCAGCAATATAGATGTGCTTGTGACTCACACTCGCATGTATCTCAGGTATCTACTCTTGTCACCTCCTTGTCTCCACCCACCTCCAGGCGGAGCTGAGTGACGGAATTGCCATGATGGTGGGCAACAACGACAGAATGCAAGGCATCGTCAGTCAGCTAGAGGAGGCCTGTCGCGCCATAGAGGTCAGTGTGCTACCGGACCGCTGACTCGCGAGGCCGCGCCTGCACTCCCGCCTGCGCGGACGCACAGAAACACACACACAGAAAGCAACATTGAACAACCTTTTTGGAACGGTCTTATCTCTGTTGTACCCCAGGAGTAGCATCTACACACACGTTTCTAACTCGGGGCTTAACATGAACGTGTCTTCTTCTGTCTCACGGACGTATAGGAGAATGGTCGGAGGCAGAAGACGCTGGTGTGCGAGAGGTTCGACCAGCTTTACTCCATCCTGGAGGAAAAGAAGACGGAGATGAGTCAGAAGGTGACCGTCGAGCAGGAGGAGAAGCTGAACTACATCCGCGGCCTGACCAGGAAGTACGGAGACCATCTGGAGGAGAGCTGTAAGATGGTGGAGTTGGGTATTCAAACTATGGAGGAGCCAGAAATGGCTTTATTTCTACAGGTCAGTCAATAGCCAACTCGATTAAAGATTGGTGCATAAACTTCATAGAACACTTCAAACAATCATTTATATCTATCATATTTCATTTATCTTTCAGAACACAAAGCCTCTCCTCAAAAAGTGAGTCGCAGAATACACCTACAATAATGTAAATGTAGCATAACGACATATTGACAATTTAAGATTCTAATCCTGTTCCTATGAATGATTCACCAAATGTACAGCTGCCCCCGAAAGGCCCAGCCCAACGCCGCGAGGTCACACCTGCTCTCGAGGAGCAGTCTACAGTAATTCTGTGAAATGTCGCAAATAGTTATCTTTAGCTGGATGCACACCGGATTAACTCGACTAAACATCCCAGATTGATTATTTATATAACAAGTGTTACATTGACTGTCTGTGGGGGACTTTTCTTTTTCTTTCTCCATAAATAATGTGAATCACACCTTCTTTTTTTTTTTTGCACTCAGGCTTGCAGAAGCATCCAATACAGCGCACTTGGACAAAGTTGAGCGCGGCTACGAGAATATGGATCATTACACCGTCGACTTCAAGAAGGAGGGCCTGGCCCTGCGCAGCCTGGACTTCCTCCAAGGTGAGCGGACCGAGGCGGCGGCTATTTGCCGTTCACAGCTCCCAACTTGCAGCCACCCGAATTTGTTTTCTTTCTCTTTCTGTCCTTTCTGCAGATGACGAAGACGAGGACGAAGAGGACGAGGACGGAGAAGCCAGCGCGGAGGAAGGCGATGGGGCCCCGGTTGTTTCTGCGGCCGCCCCCGCCTCCGTCAAACCCGCCGCCCCGCAGCCGAGTCCTTCCTCCCCGAGCGCCGCCTCGTCCTAGCCGTCGACCCGGCACAGAAAACACTTTAGCACGATAACCTCTGCTCCCAGATGTCAATGACGGGTCAGTCGTGATCCTGCCCCCCCCCCTTGTTACCGGATTGGGGAGCAGGTGACAGATTTAGATCCGTGCCGAAGGGAAACTGTGAGTTGCAGAGGTATCGAGCAGAGACAGAAGTTTCCCTCCGTTGCCTCACTCATATTGTGACTACATCTCGGCGTGCGTCACTGCACGCTGACGCGTCTGATATGTTTTTTGTCAGGTCGAACGCACATTTTGGCACCTTTCTTTCTTCTTCTTTTTTGACGTACTGAATGACAAGCAGGCTATGGGCGGTCGTTACCAGGATTCATATATTTTTATTTTGTAGCTGACCTTTTGCGATTCACTAGTTAAACTAAATATTTAGCCAGCGTGATGAAAGGGTCCCGGTCGTACTCATTTTTTAAAAATCTGGTAAAACTTTATGAGTCGGGGAGAAGAGTAAAAATCTGTCACTGTGACATTTCAGTGTTTCATACACTTAACAGCCTGTATTGTGTGTTGAATGCTTTTTTCTGTGTAAACCAGGTACGCCTTCCTACATAGACAAAACATCACGTTTTGATGTGTAACTGTGTAATATATTACAATTCTCAATCAAACTGAGCTGTACAAACGCCTGACGTATTGTTGTCTCACAAAATCTGAATCAATAAAAACACAGCTGTCATTACTGCGTATCCCCGTTCTTCAGGCCTCCTCCTGGACCCAACTAAAAAGTACAATGTGTGAACGCGCATCCAAAGAAAAGGGCGCATTCTTCACTTTTCGAGAGCCTATCTATTTATTCATCTAATCTAACATTTGTATAGCTTGTTTCAGTGCGACTCTGACACCATTCCTGCCTCGGACCTGCTGTGTGCATCCGACTGCTGCGCGCCTCAAACCTTCAGCTGTCAGTTTGCCGCCGTGCTGCGGTCTCATAGCAAATGACTCCACTGTTGACGTATAGTCCGCAAACCCCACCTAATAACTAATAAATCTCTCAGTGAGTTGGATGCTTTAGGAATGGGCTCGATGCAGCTTTAAGCTCCAAGTGGCTGAGTGGGACAAACGGAATGACTCACATCCACAGCTCTTGTTTAGTTACATGATGGGTCAAGGATCAGCCCAGCCTGCACACACACACACAGATAAGCGCACACAGGGTCTTTCACACTCATTAGCTCATCATATCTTTGAGCTTTCCGTGGTTTCCTTTTGCCGGGATAATGGGAATTGCTTCTTGAGGGTCGCGGGTCTGGGAGGAGGAACACTGTATATGAGTGTTGTCTATCTTTGGTAAAACGTTCTATTGTTGCGGCTCTTTTCATGTGTGTCGAGGGAACGCCACTGACCCACGACTTGGTGCCAGAGCAATGCCATGTTTACACCACACAGGGGTTTTATATTTACTTACAATCCATATTTGAGATAGAGGCCATTTTTACTTTCTCAAACTGCAGCCAACTTATATTTGATATCTCCTAAGATTGCAAATCTATATGTTAAGAAGTTAAATTGGTGATTAAAGTTTGTTTTTGATGGTAGTTATTATTAATTTATATGTAAGGATATCCACAGAGAAGTGTAAGCAGTGCTTTTACATTTTTATTAAAAAATATAGATTTAAGATGTCCTCTTGCACAACAGAAAATGACTGGTTGCACATAAGTTTATTAACAAACATAAATATCATAATTACAAGGATTCATAATTTAAAACAAACCATTTTTTATGCAGTATTTTATCTCTCAGCCAAAAGTATTCAATCTCAAGTATGAAGAACGTGTGAGTCTACATATTTGACACCAACATTAAAATACAATCGGATCATTCTAAGTCAAGCCCGTATACGCGCCATAGTTTGAGGTTAAAGCTTTAAATAATAAAGAGATAAAGCAGCACTATATTGTACAGAGCATGAGTACTGCTGATGGTAAAAATGCAACAAAAAAAAATTAAACGGAGATCTTTGGCGGATGGAAAGAGGTCTTCATTTCCCGAAGAGCTCCATCATTCTTCTGTTATTTTGCGCTTGCTGAGCCAGCTGTTCCGCCTTGGACATCTCCATCATCTCCCGCAGCAGGTGGAAGGTCAGATCCAGGGATATCGGCGGGTCCTCGGACCTCCTTCCCCTCTCCATCGACTCGTCGCCGCGGTCTCCAAAGCCGCTCAAGAGCGCCCTGATGTTTCCAACTTTCCCTTGTAAAAGACGCCGCGTCAGCTGGAGTTGCGATGCTCTGTTGTAGATGGCAGGCGCTCCGCCGGGATACATGGATGAAGATGGGAAAGAGTTAGTGTCCCCGTTGCCCAGGCGGATGAAATACTCCTCTCCGAGTCGCTCCAGGATGGGGCCAGACTGCTGCTGCTGGGAGTTTGGGGTTTGGGGCGCTGGGACGCGCAGGGCACCGCCAGGGTTTTCAATAGCCCGACATGCGTAGAGCGGTAAGAAGGCAACTAGCAGAATCACGGTGGTGCCAAGTGAATTGAGCTTCATGTCAGGATATCAACAGGAATCTGAGAAGGAAATCAGAAGCTTGAATTATTTTTTTGATTCCCACTTTGGTGTAAAATGCGTAATGAGGAATTTGCGCACATAAAACGGGCATCTCGTTGGTGTAACCGGGCTGTAAACCATCAATAAAAGTGCTATTATTTCTGTTTTGGCGGATTTTGTGATACACTTCAATCTGCAGTAATTATACGAAATAGTCCTGATTAACTAGTCCCTAAAGAAAGATGGGTTTTGCACTGATTGCGCTGTACGTTTGAACATACGGGGCAATGAGGACGGACCCCAATTGGTAAATAAAAAATAACAAAAATTCCAAAAGAATGCATGCAGGGGGAAAAAAAGCCCTTCATACCTTCAGTCTTTAGAGGAGGTCCAGTACAGCCTTGCAGGTTGGCAGGTAGTTGGCGAGATGCCTCCCTCCTTCACTTCCTTGAAGAAACAAGTCTATGGTTACTTAAAGAGTAGACGCTGAATGCACTTATATAGCCGCCGTCAATACAAGCGTCGCGCTCCCAGATGAGATGGAGTCTGCGCGCTCCCGCATGGGTGTAACGTGAATGGGCGCCTGTGAAAAAAGTGCTTTAGTTTAGATGAGATGAGTCATAAGTAAGCGTGCGCGCGCGTGCACCGGCATTTACGTGTGCGCTTTCAGAATAGGCCTATGGGTGCCACACCTGCTGGCATTCTCACTTGAGGGGAGCATAAAGTGAGAAGACAAAGCATTTAGTCAAGATAAGTTTTAAATGAGGATGTAGCTTTCTTTGTCTCAGCAATACTAGTGCAGAATCTGATTTAAATGCGTTTTGCTGGACAAAAATATGAATTATTCTGATGAATTTTGGTACGGCAATGAGATAATAATGAAGAGACTTGACATGTGGGAAATGCCTCATATAGTTGCCGTATTATTTTAATGGTATTTTTTATTTCTTTGTTCCTAAGGACTCTGCAGGCGGGTAGCCAACCATGTGTTTTATTCGGTGCATCTGCAAACAGCTCCTACCCAGAGAGACGGGCCATCGATTCCTAGCGATTCGTTGCTGCTGCACGCACGTCACCACCTCTGGGGGCCCTCGGCCACCTCGCTTCGCGGGGCCCCGAATCGCCTTGTTGCGATTTTCAGAATGGAGAACATATAATCCCACATCAGCCATTAGAATCTTAAACAGTTTTGTTATTTTTCATAAAGTGTGCAACTCACACTTACGTGTCTATACACGTAAGTGTGAGTTGCACACTTGTTAGGGAATGTTGGGCAAACTGAAGGAGTCAGCCCTTTTTCACTTCAGCATAACCTCCATATTTTTGTTAAGTCACCTTTCAGAATGCGGGTAAAAGCCTTCCCATTAATCCCTAATGGTAAATGTATTACACCCAGACACTCAGGCACAGGGAACATCCGAGTTCCAGGCGTGCATATTGCCATATTACATCATCATATGTGCCATCTTTAAACATCTTCATCAGTGTATAATTTGCAGTCGGCGTGAGATTGTTGCTCTTATGGCCTCCCCACTGTGGCGCTCTTCACGCTGCGTGCTGCTTCGGGGGGGGTGAGGTGTCAGGTCCCATCATGAGAAACACATGTTGGCCGACACAAATAGAAAACGCCGCTATAGATGAGCGAGTGACTGCTTGTGGTCAACTCGTGTCACCTCATCTTCAAATCACTGTCCCCACGCAGACCTCTGGGAGTCGAACCCTCTCCTGTGACGTCACGCCGGAGAAGACGCTTGAATCATTATCCTTTTGTTTCCTCAATCAGGGCGAGTCTCTCTCCTCGACGATTAGATTGAAAAAAACGTTGATGATCATCTGCCCGCAGGTAGAAAATGAAAACATGATTAGAGGCAAATCTGGACATGATGGATAAAGCTGACACTTGCTTCTAAAAAAAGATTCCACACAACAAACAAACCCTCCATGGCAACGGATTCTTTTAATCGATCATTTGCCTTTCTAATCTGCTTCTCCCCAAATTGTCCCTTCCTAAATAATTGGACAGTTTTCCCCTGCGCGTTGAGCTGTTTTTGCTAATACGTCCGGTGTTCGCCTCGTCCTATAATAAAGTAGGTCATTCTGGTTGGTCAGCATGAACAGGTATTCTGCAGAGCCTCACTTTGACCAACACCTGAACTCAGCACCGCAGCTCAGGTGTCCATCTGGTTATGTAAGATGTTTTTGAAAACACCGTTCTCTTCTTAAGAAAAAGGAGATGGAAAATTTTGGTCAAAATGTCATTTCTGGTTTTACAATGGACAAGAAACCTGCACGACGCTGTCGTACAACCACGCCCAGTAGAGATCTACGTGTATGATGACGTTCAGTCATGGCAGTTTAAGGCTAAACAGGTTCATTAATAATGCAGCGTGGAAGCTGCTGACCAGGAAGCCCTCCAGCTTACTTGTTCTTCAGTGTAACTCAGCTGCTTTTAAAAAAAGGAGCTGTTCCTAAATGGACTTCTTGACGAATGTTTCTGCGTTTCTCAAGCACAGCAAATGGAATGTGACGTGAGATGGCTGGCCTTCATAAATTCTCCCACGGATCGCATGCTTTGCACTGTGTCTGCAACCGACACGAGGACGTGAGAAGCAAAGTTGTCCATAATGCAGAAAAAGGGCTGTTCTGTCTGTGTGAATCCAGCATGTGAGGCTCTGGATGCTCCCGTAATGCTTGTTGACATTGTAGATGCCAATCTCCTCACCCGGGGGTTGAGGCGGGAAAATAACATCTCAAAAGACAATATTTAACCATCCTCATTACTTTTTTCACAACCGTGGTTGTTTTTTTCAAGTCAGATGCAACAATCAAAATCTTGACAACCCAATCATAAAAGGTTATGTTTGAATTCGAACGAGCCAACAATGCATAATGTAAATCCAATATATTACTGGTTTATTATTAGGTTACGGTTTATTTTCAACAAATACATTAAAATCACCCAGAACACCATCTTTCGTTAGTTTCCGACATGTCATAACCTTATCCATAATAGATAGTTGCAAATATTCAAGACGTAAATATTTTAAACAGGTCACAACATATAATTCCACATATTAAAAAAAAACTCCAACTTATTAGCAAAGGTTGCGCCAACAAAGGTGGCTGTCCTGTTTACATCACCATTATGGTGTTTGATGGACATTGAACAAGTTTATTTTTATTTTAAGTTTATC